GCCCTGGGCTTGAGATGGCAGCACAGGCCACACTCCCTGCAGCACTCAGTCCTGCTGGGAAGCCTCCATCCTTGGCCAGCGCTCAGTACCCAGCACCCGCTGCCCACCCGCCCTGCCCCAGGCCAGGCTTGGCAGGTCCTGGACCCCCGTTCCTGCTGCCCGCAGCTCTGAGGCACAGGCACTTCCAGGTCTCCCCCAGCAAGGCCTGGGGCACTGATCCAGCAGAGCCTGGAAATGGTCCTGTCTTCTTAAAGGACTTGGAGGATGTTCCAACCCAAGGCCCATCTACTCTCCAGACCCAGGGCAATCCCAAAGGTCCCCAAAGGATTGAATTCTTGCAGAGCAGAGGGGTCTCCAGATCTGGGAATGGAAAGGAGAGTTACTAATTTCATGAGAGTGCAGGCTACCAGAGATGAGTGAGCTCCGCACCCCCCCCCCCCCCCACAAGGGGAAAGCAAGCAAAGTGAGGAGAAAGAGAAAGGTCTCTTTTTGAGCCTCTCTGGATAGAAACCTCTGGGACATTGAAAGTTCCTAATGCAGCTGTGAGGGTAGCATGGGAAGCTGCTTACTGACCTCAGTGCAGAGGCACTCACTCTGCTACCCTCTAACGCTCCCGGGGACCCTGCCAGGTGGGCAGCAGAAAACCTGCCTTATAGAGGAGAGAAAGCATGCTCAGAGAGTGAATGGGTCTGCCCAGGGTCACAGAGCCAGGCGCCGGAAGGACCAGCCATCACATGCTTGTCCAAGGGCATGGTCCCCTTCTCTGAGGACCCCTCAGCCTAACAAAGGAATGGAAGGAATAAGTACGTTTGCTGAAGGGCAAAGAGTGGAGTGAAGAGGTGCAGCCTGAGGGTGAGAGGGCAGAGAGCAAGGATGTGCTGACAGGGAGAAATCAGGGGCTCCTTCCTGAAGGAAGCGGCATCTGAGCTGAGCACTGAAGAGCAAGCAGGACTCTGACAGGTGGACAAGTGGGGTTGGGATTGGAAGGCAAGTCTGAGCTGAGGGAGCAGTGTGAGCAAAGGTACAGAGGGGGCTCTGTGACAGGTGGGTTCAGGAGCACCTGAGCCCCTGCCCATTAGCATGTGCCTCCTGGCACGCGTCGCAGCAGCTCAGGGAGGCACGGGCTGAATGTGAGACAGGCATTATTTATGGATGAAGCCGAGAGGGCTGAGGGAGGCTTATCGGGGAGCATCAGGTTCCTGTGAGGACACCTCTTGGCGGTGGCAGCGCTGAGCCGGGCAGGCTGGGAGGGCTGGGCACAACGGCCCCTGTCGCTCCCTCCTGCAGCCTGGCCCGCCCCCCCGAGCCGGCCACGGTGCGTCTGCAGAGTGGTCAGCTAAGACAGCCAGCTGCAAACCCAGGGCTGACCTCCCACTTCCACGCCGGGAGATGAGGGTCCTAGAACCTCAAACCCCACCTCACCAACTCAAGGGATGACACAGAACGGCTGTGCCCAGGGCCCTACCCTCCCTCTCCATTCCGAGCCTGCAGAGGAAAGAAAATTAACGGGCAGAAAAAGACAAATGACTGCATTAATAAAAACTGGGACCTCTCCATGCTGGCTGCTGGGCCTGTCCTGACGAGATGCATGGCTGTCCCCTGGCTGCCATCCGCCCCTTTGTGTGCTGTGCGCAGGGCTCCGAGGACCACCCCCCACCCCAGATCAGCCCCTGCCCATCTGGGGCCGCAGGGGTACCAGCGTTTAATTCCAGGAGAGGCCATGCCAACCTACACTGAAATCTCGGGGGAGCGTCCACACGGGACGCCACGTCCCACGGCCCACTTAGGACGTGCCCCAGTGTGGATCTGTGTGGTGGCCTCCGCTCTCTCAAACCAAAAACTCAAACTCACAGGGAAGCCTGACAAGTCATACTGGAACTGTGTCATACCAGGAAAAGAGGAAAAAAAGAATTTCCTTTCTGTGCCTTCAGTTTTCACGCCCAGAAACTAACCTGTGTGTGCAGGTGATGGCGTTGTTCATGTCCCCTCCCCCACTGACCCCAACTGGGAATTACTGCTGGAGGCCAAGAGCAGATGACTGCTGGCCCTGCCCGGCAGGGATGCCTAGCCACACAGAGGTCAGGTCACCCCTACACCGACGCACACACACTCACCTGGCTCCCTGGGACCTTCTCACGTCTGATCTCTTTCCCCCTGAGACCAGCAGAACTGGACTTTAGGAGAGAGGCCTGGATGTCCACATACATTTTAGACACCTTCAGGTGATGCTAATGTACACACGAGGCTGGGACCCCTGACCTATGCTGAGCAGTGGCTATTCAAACCATCTGCCTCTCAGGCTCCGTCCCCAAGGGACCCCACACCCACCTGGCCCAGAGTACTAACTGGTGGGGCTGAACGCCCGCAAACCCAACTGAACTACAGGGAATATGATGAGGACGTGCAGGACTAAAGTCTGAAGGGGGTAGGGGAATGGGCATTTACTGAGCCCCAGAATGCATGTGCCACGCCCCCTGGTAGCACAAAGGGGAGACCTTGCTAGTTTCAGGAGAAGGGGGGTTTGCTTTCACCATTAGGCTCTACCGAGCACCAGGCCCTGTGTGAGGGGCCGGTGGGGCCAGAATGGGGCCAACTGTCCAGCAGTGGAGGCAGGAGCAGAGGGGAGGCGTGGGAGGACGTGGGACACCAGGGGACATTCCAGCTGTGGGCAGAGGCAGATGTGGCAGGTGGGAGCAGACGCAGGAAACAGGGAAAATCTAGGTGTCGGGGGATGGGCTGGAGGTGACGCCTCAGCTTCACCTGTGGGTGTGCAGCAGTGGGGGGCTCACAGGCTCAGGGGCAAGAGAAAGAGGGGGTTCCAGGCGGTTAGCTCTGGCGGCACACCACGTCTGCACAGTGTTTCACTGATTCAGTGAAAACAACAATAAATCGTCACGAGCCAGGTGGTGGGACTCCTGGGGTGGCGGGAGTCCAGAGAAGACAGCTCCATGTGGACCGGACCCCATGGAAAGAGGACAAAGCCATGTGGAGGGGCAGACAGAGACTGGAGAAGCTCTGCATACCCTGGCGTGTGGCCCACGTGGCATTCTGCGCCAGTCAGGGAAGGACAGAGCGTTTCACGAACTGGGCTGCAGCAACTCACTGGCTTTCTGGAAAAGTCCAGCTCAATCCCAACCTCACACCACACACAGAAAGCAGTTCCGAGAAGGTCAGACTTCCATGTGAAAAACAACTACAACGCGGGCTTTTCGGACACAGGCCACAACATGGATGAACCCTAACAACTTCATGCCACGGGAACGAAGCCAGTCACAAAAGACCACTTACTGTATGATTCCGTTCGTATGAAATGTCCAGAATAGGCAAATGCACAGAGACAAAAGTAGATCAGCGGCTGCAGGGGCCGAGGGGAAGGAGGACGGGGGACTGACTGCCAACAGGTACAGACTCTCTTTCTGGGGTGATGAAAATGACCTGGAATTAGGTCGTCGTGATGGCTGCGCAGCTCTGTGAATATACGAAAAAGCACTGAATTGTACACTTTCATATATATGGAAACTAAGTGAATTTTGTCTCAATGCCATTGTTATTAAAAAGAACAAGCCCAGCTCTCAGGTCAGAAGGAATTTCTTAACCAAGAAACAAGAAGAACAAATCATCAAGGGAAAGCCTGTCGACCCCGACTGCGTGAACAGACAACAGATCAGCCAGCACAGTCAGAAGACCAGCTGCCATCTGGAGAGACTGAGCACAAGTCCCAGCACGGACAAGGACGGGACAGAACACACTCGCAACCCCTACAATCAATAAGGAAACACAGGAATGGGCACAGGCTGAACGGAAGGTGAGTCACAGACAGAAATGTGCAAGAAGACACCCAACCGCACTCGTAATCAGGGAAATGCAAATTAGGTACCACGCCAGCCATAGGATGGGCGGAAAGTGAAAAGTGGTAACTCGGTGTGACGGTGAGCACGTAAGGAGCAGGAACAGCACGCAGGGCGCCCGGAGAGCAACTGGCACGGCTTCCTGCCGCTGAAGATGTGCACACCCTCGAGACGCCCTGGCACAGGTACACGAGGAGACGGCTACAAGAAGGCGTCCCCAGCACCGGCTAAAGTAGTGAAAAATTGGAAACTGCCTAAATGTCCTCCCCAGGGCACCAGATAAATGGTGGTTTAACCAAGGGATGAAATACTACACAGAGACAGAAATGAATGACCTGGAGTGACACGTATCAACAGGCATACATCTCAAAAACATGACGGCGGGCAAGTTACCGGGGGACACATAGAAACGTGACATCATTTATATAAAGTTCGAAAACCTGTAAAGCATCATTATACATCGTTTATGGACATATGACCTGTAAGAGGAATAAAACCTATGCATGAGAATGACGACCACCAAATCCCAGGCACGGGCTCTCTATAGGGAGGGGAGGGGCGGGGAGGGGCCCCAGAGCACCTCAACTCTACTGCAACACTTTATTTATTTATTTTTTTTGAGGAAGAATAGCCCTGAGCTAACTACTGCCAATCTTCCTCTTTTTTGCTGAGGAACACTGGCCCTGAGCTAACATCCGTGCCCATCTTCCTTTACTTTATATGTGGGACGCCTACCACAGCATGGCGTGCCAAGCAGTGCCATGTCCGCACCTGGGATCCGAACCAGCGAACCCTGGGATGCTAAGAAGCAGAAGGTGCAGATTTAACCACTGCGCCACAGGGCTGGCCCCAACACTTTATTTCTTAAAAGGGAAGAATCTGAAGCTAAAATGCTTTATTGTGACATTCTGATAAATGTGGGCAGTGGAATAAATAGTTGTCTCATTATTCTCTAAGCTTATTGCTTTTTATATATTTCTTTTTTGTGTGAGGAAGATTGGCCCTGAGCTAACGTCTGTGGCAATCTTCCTCAGTTTTGTATGTGGGATGCCTCCACAGCATGGCTTAACCAGCAGGGTGTAGGTCTGCACCCAGGACCCAAACCCTCAAACCCTGGGCAGCCAAAGCGGAGCTCACGAATTTAACCACTATGCCACTGGGCTGGCCCAACTTTTTATATATTTCTTAATAAAGAAACAATGCCTTTTAAGTAAAGGAAGAAAGTCAGGGCAGCACAACAGACCCTCCAGAAAAGACACTGGGAACTCCTGATGTCACACGCCCGCTCCCTGGGCCCGATGCCCAGGCTGCCTGGGAAACCTCACAAACATCCCTGGCAGTGGGCCTCCTGTGGTGCCACCACCACGCCGTGGGAGCCGTCCGACCACAGCAAGTCGAGAGCCTGTGGGTAGAGGAGGCCACCCCAGGGATCGGGAGCTGACGGCGGCAGGAAGCCACCCTCCTACAGACGAGGGGACAAGAGCAGGTCCCTTCTCTGCCCCAACCTGCTCTGTGACCTTGGACTAGCCCCTTCCCATGCCTGGGCCCCACAGAAATGGGGGCAGGAGGCCCAGATGACCCGGAGGGCTCAGAGGGCAGGACGGAGACGCGACTCCGAGTCCCTGTGAGTCAGCATCGCTGAAGGAGGCGGGGCAGCGGGGACCCACCCAGTTAGAGATGACAGACCCAGCCTGAGGACAGCAAATGTGCTTCCCCTGTCACAGAAAACCCACAGCAGGGTGACCGTCCACCAGCTGGGCTTCATGGTGCCGTCCTCCCAGAGGTCCTGGGGAGGGCACGTCCTTCCAGCCATGGCGAAGGACCCACCCCTTCGTGCCCGGGGCCTGTTGCAAGAGAAGAAAGCTGGAGCCAGGCAACGCAAACAACAGAAGCCGCGTGCACGCACGAGCCAAGATTTCTGCTAGGAAGAGGTGGCATGGCTCGGGGAAGAAACCCAGCCAAGAGTCCCAGCTCCAGCCTGCCCTCCGTGCAACCTCAGGCCTCAGTTTCCCCATGTGACATCAGAAGGGCCTCATCCTGAATAAAGATCTCAGCCTGGGCTTGTGAACTGTGGTCAGCTGACTATCGTCCCTCCAAAGACGCCAGGCTGCCTCCCGGGTGTGCTGCAATCTTGCCACATGACCCAACAACTATGAGAAAGCTACCACGTCTGCCCATCCACCCCAGGCCACCATGGGGGACTTCTCAAGGCTGGCCCCAGGAAGGCATGGACTGCCCCGCCTGGCCAGGCCCGCACAGGGGGAGGCGGGGAGAGCCTATCCCCACGGGGCTGCGGAGAGGGCATGGGTAGAGTCAGCAGGTCTGGGCTGGCTACATTGCTAGGCAGAAGTGCCCCCACCTGAGTGTCAGTGTCCCTGTGGTACAGTGGGGACAACAGATCCGGTTCCCGGAGCCTCGCACAGAGAAGGCAGTGCCCTGCACAGCGCCCTTCCAGAGACAGGCTAGCGCTGCAGGCGTTGGTACCAAGGGGGCCCTCAGTGTTTGGGGTGCAGGGGGCTGCCAGCCCAGCTTTCACCCCAGTCCCACCCCTGCCCTGCCATCACACATCAGCTCAACTCTCTGAGTCACCCTCAGGCCCAAGTGGCCTTTCACCCAGTAAGCGAAGCTGTAATTGCCCTTTGGACACATGGTCCTCCCCACAAGGAGGGGTGCACGAGCTTCTGGGGCTCAAAGGTCATCTGCTCACCTCGGGCAGGGCCTGGAAAACCCTCCACTTCCTATCATGACATCACTGGGTGGCCCAAAACAGGACTGACAGGCCAGGAGCCCACTGTCCTGCTGGCCAGACACTGGGTCACCCCAGACCACTGAGGAGGGGCCAGGGGGCGTGAGCCTCAATAGGAGTGGAACCTCCCCTGGCAGCCAGAGCAGAAGGTCAGGAGAGGCCTGGGTTCAGCTGGGCCTCTCTGTAATCACAGCTGTGTGACTTCGCACTTGTGAATAAACATCTCTGAGCCTCTGAGACCTCATCTGTAGCAGGAGGAATCATGTCCCCTCCTTGGGCTGTTGGGAGGATTCTGGAACACCCAGGCCAGGCCACTGCAGCTCAGGAATTTGGGAGTGGTTAATAATCTTCTCATGCGACCTTTCAGAGCCTTTATAAGCACGAGCTTGGCATTCGAATTCCCGCGTGGCACTCAAACAAGGGACTCCCCCTGCAGCCTCGGTGTCCCATCTGTAGAGGGAGCCCCACTTCTCGAGTGATCCTGCAGAGGAAGCCGCGTCAGGAGCCTCACCCAGGGTGGCCCACCTGGCTGTTCTGTGACTGCGTGTCAAGCCCTTGCGGGCACACCTACCCCCAGCACTCGCGGCTGCTGGAGTGGTCCCACTCCACCTGCCCCACCTGCTCTGAGAATGTCCCCACTGCTTTCCCACCTAGACTCCCCAGAGGCGCCCTCCCAGCCTCACCCCTCCCTCCCCACGGTGCCCTCACTCCCAACCTTCCGCTGCAGGTGACTGGCTGTCCCCACACAGGAGCATCTTCACAGCGCCTCTGGCTAAGCCTCCAGTGTGGGGAGAACCCCCGCGCCTGCCGCCCCGACCGGCAAGGCCCTCTGCCTGAGCGTGCTGGGCCCGGGCCCGTGGCGTGCTTCTGTACTGGAGTGTGCACGCCCCTTTGCAAAGTCCCTGCAGGGCCGTGCATGTCATACACCAAGCCTGGCACCTGGAGAAGGTTGGCGACCCTCACACCTCGGCATCCTGCACTCGATCCTGGAAGCCCCCCACCCCAGGACAGGGCAGTACGGTTAGTGCTCTCCCCAGGATCAGACCCCCGGCTCGTGCTCTGAGAGGTGCCCGGTGAAGCTCCGCACTGTAAAGGGCACGTGGGGCACCTGCAGGGCAAGGAGTCGAGTCCGTGCACCAGCAGCCTGGGCCCCAGCCCTGCCCTCCCACCACTTGCTGTGTGATCCTGGACAGGTCCCCTCCCCTCTCTGGGACCCAGAACACCTTTCTCTACAACAAGGGAGTTGAAAGCCGCCAAGGACGCTTCCGGGACAGGGGGGCATGGGCGGAGGGGGCCCAGGGGCATGGTGGGCACCGCGGGCGTGAGCCCATCGCCGCAGCACCTCTCCGTGCCTGCCCACACAGCCGTGTTTCTTTAAGAAAGACATGAGCGAGAACAGAGCTGAAGGTCAGGACAGCGGTGCCAGGATGAGGTCACTGTTTGGTTACAAATGACAACAAACAGGCCCGGGCCTGGGGAAGGGCCTGCAGGAGACAGGCCGCGGGGAGGCGCAGGGGGCAGGTGGGCGCTCAGGAGCCTCCCTCCGCGTCAGCATGCCCACAGGTGACAGCGGCGGCCGGGAAGCACCCACAGCCAACTCCTGGTCTCAGCGGGAGGACAGCACGAGGCCCATGAGGGAACTCCAGGGAACAAAAGAGCCGTAAAGGTCAGCCTGTCCTAACCTCTCCTCCTAACATCGGGGTGGGCTGGGGACGCCGAGGTGTTCACCAGCTTCTCTGAGGTCACAGGCAGTCAGCGAGCGGCATGGCCGGGAGGAGAGCAGGCACTCTGGCCCCAGGCTCGGCAGTGACCCTATGAGGGCGCACGTCAAACCCCAACTCTCTTTTCCTCCCCAGCACACAGCCAGCTGTTTGTCCCAGGCAAGGTGACAATGACAATGATAATGAGAGCCAGGGATTACAACTGCATTGGATAAAATAAAAATCCTTGTGTCCATGCACAGGCCAACAAGGGAGAAGGGGAAGGCCCCTCACGGCGGAATGCCGCTGCTAAGCATCAGAGGATAGAGGAAGTCAGAGTGTAACCAGGGGATGCTAACCCAGCCGGGGAGCATCCATGAGGATCAAGACACCTGCAGGGTCTCAAAGCACCTCCCACAGATAGTTATTAATTACCAAGGTTTATGCACTAACTGCACGGTTGGGAGACCTCTGGGTATACAGTAGGTGCCTCTTGGCGGGACGTGCCAACCACACAGCACCCGCTCTGAGCCGTTCCTGCCCCAAAGCACACCACCTGAATCCCACTGTGGGGCAACGTGAGACAGAGCCACATGTGTGGCTGGTCAGTCCTCTTCCAACACTTCGAGGAAATGTCAAAGGAAGGTCAAAGGCGGTTCTGAGCAAAAGGAGGCTAACGAGAGCACAGCGTGTGATGATCGGAAGATAACTGCTCCAAAGCGCCGTGTTGGGACAAGTAGCGTGTCAGCATCCAGCCATCTGAAGTTGACAGCCGTGCTGTCACTCCGTAAGCGAAGGTCCTTGTTCTCGAGAAACGCACACCGAAGTATTTAGGGGGGAAAGGGCACATTGACTCCAACTTTTCTCAGATGGTTCAGGAAGAAAAGCGGTCCACAAACAGAGAGGACGAGGCAATGAGGCCACCGGCAGGCCTGCGCGGAACTCTACTGTTCCTGCCACACTTCTGTAGGTGTGCGTTTACTTCAAAAGAGAAGAAAAAACCACCTTCACCACCATTTACAGATGACGTGGGAGGCACTGCACCTCTGTTATCTTATCTGATCCTCGCAGCAACCTTATGAGGGAGATGCAGTTATTTCCATATACAAGTGGGGAAACTGAGGCCCAGAGAGACGAGGTGACTCACAAAAGGTCATAAAGCAGGAAGCGATGCAACAGGGATGGGAACCCAAGGCTGTGCACGCTCTTACCCACCAGAGCTTGTGATCTTGATACAGCCTGCCAGCTGTAGCCCTGACTGTGGCCTGGGACAACAGGCCACCCCAACCACCCAGGGACGCTGGCCTTTCGGCCACTGCCTGGCTCACTCAGATGGATGGGCTAGTGCCTCTCCCTGCCTATGCTCAGTTTCCCCATCTGCAATGCAAGGGTCACCTGGGGGCCATCTTTAAAGAAGAGATTAGATCAGTATTTGCAGACGTAAGCAAGCTGAGGATCCAGATGAGACCATCCTGGATTAGGATGGGTCCTAAACCCACGAGAGCATCCTTATAAGAGACGGAAAAGGAGCCACGGAGACATAGAAGAAGCCGTGTGAAGACAGAGGCAGAGACTGGCAGGATGCACCCACAGGCCAAGGACGCCTGGGGCCACCAGAAGCTGGAATAGACCAGGAGGGACTTTCCCTCGGAGAATCCAGAAGGAACCACCCCTGCCGACACCTTTATTGGGACTGGTGGCCTCCTTAAGTGGCAGAAGAGATTGCTGCTGTTTTAAGGCAGCCAGTTTGCTACAGCAGCCCTGGGAGACCAATACTCCTTCTCTTAGAGAGTTTTAAGGGTAAAAATGGGAAACTGCTGAGCCAATTCCAGTCACCCTGTGCCACCACATTAGCCATCCTGAGACCATTTTGCCGTATTTCCCAGAGTGACTTCCATCCAGGTAGCTCGGAGCCTCCACCACAGACCAAAAAACCCATCCAGCTCCACCCCACCAGAGGCCCAGCGCTGACTGCTGTGAAGACAGCTGCCCTGCCAACAGGAAACAATCACGCTCGCCAACCGCAGCGCAACCGTCACGCCAGTGCTGGTTAACCCACTGCAAGGGATGTTGTGTAGACACTGACGAGGTTTATGAAGACCAAGGGGAAAACACCATGAGTGCAATGTTGAGTGACAAAAGCCAGATTCCACATTAAACACACAGCGAGATAACCAGCAGCCAAAACGCTCATGCCTGGGGGAAAAAATAAGCAGTTCAGTCTTGGGGGAAAAATCTGCAAAGCAGGGTCTGAGGGACCGGGCTAAATGTGAGTTTGGTTTTCTCTCTACTTTTCCACGTCTTCTAAGTTTCTCTAACGAATGTGTATCCCCTTAGAAATTAAAAAGTAAATAAATCCAACCTGCGCCTGGGCCTCTCACCCCCACTGCACACAGCATGGACGCCTGTCCTTGTAGGAGCTGGCTCAGCCTAAATGCCTCTTCAGGCAGACGTGCCCCGGGCCCCAGGGATGAGGATGCAGGAGCTCTCAGCCCAGAGGTGGCTCTGAGTGGATGCCACCGAAGGCTGCTCTCTTGTCCCAGCAAGCAGAGGGGTCTTCGGACCTCACACCTGCCCACACGTGCAGCGTGGGAGGAGTCTCGGCTCAGATGCTGCAGCCAGGCTCAGGCCTCCATGGAGAAGGGGCAGGCAGGGGGTCTGGACTGGACACTCTAGGGCAGCCCATGAGCCCCCGAGTCTTGGTTTTCCCACCTATGACAGGGTGACGGTCACACACATGGCAAGATCATGGGTGGGTACAACTGCTGGGAGACCATGTGAATTAAACCACAGGGGCAGGAAGGGGACGGCGAACCCCTCACGTAGCAATTCTAGAGGCCCCATGCCAGATGCTGGACGGACATACAACGCTCTTCATTCTGACTCTCAGAGCGGCCCCCCAGGGCGACGGTGCCGGGCTCACTTTGCAGAGGAGTGGAGGCTCAGAGACATCCCGTGGGCCCTGCCCGGCCCTTCCCATGTGGACATTCAAATGTCACTGAATGAGGGTGCAAAGGAGAGGCATGTTCTCGGAGGGCCCTCGAGGTACTCAAAGCAGGCCCCCCGCCCTGCCACCCCGGCCCCATGGCCTGGAGAAAGGTCATGCCCCCAGCAGAGCCCCGAGCTGAGAAAGTTGTCGCACTGGTCACACACCCCCACCAAGGGCGCGGCGGGGGGGGAATTAACAGTACAGCCCAGCCCTGCCCCAATGCTGAGGCTCACGGGGGCCTGAGAAATCCCTTCTGCCTCTAGGAACCAAGGTCCCAGAGAGGCTGAGCCGCCCAGGGAGGAAGGCCCTGACCGGTCGGCCCCGCTCGCCCGCCTCCCTCCTGGGCCTGCAGCTGCCTCTCTTCCGCCCACAGGAGGCAGCACCCGGGCCTGCAGCTCCACAGGGAGGGGCACTCACGGGGCAGCGTCAGGAGGCTGTGCCCATCTGGAGCGACGTCCCGCAGAGCCTCGGGTCCCTCAGGAAGCAGGAGCGCCTGACAGCAACCTTCCCACAGCTGCCACTGCTACAACAGGCAAAATTAAGCCCCAGG